GCATAGACACTGAGAACTGGAAATCCCTAACCCTTGAGTGCTCCAGCTGGAGGTCAACTGTGAGCAGCAGTGCTGCAGAATTTGAAGAGGAACGAATGGTGAAAGAGAGAAACGTGCCAAGAGGAAGGCGCATCAAGCCAACCCCGACTGGGACCGCTTTCCACCTGGAAGCCAATGCCCTCATTGCGGGAGAAGATGCAGATGAAGAATAGGGCTCCACTGTCACCTACGGACGCACCGTCAGTATACCAAACTTGGAGGACAATCCTACTCGGACAATGCGGGATCGCCTAAGTAACTAATTAATTAAGTACCAGAATGCCTCATTCGGCATGACACAAACCAGTCAGTTTCACAAGTTCTGACTCTGTCTCATGAAATCCAGAGATCAAAACTCACACCAAACCTGGCACCTGTGACAAAGGCACCCTCGAGAAAATCTTCGTATGGGGCTAACATTCAAATAAGTAGGAACAGGTTGGTGTATCCCTTACTCAAAATTCTTGGGACCAGAAGCTTAAGTAGCTGAGGGGGAAAAGGAAAGGCCTTGAGGCTGTTAGGAATTGGGTGAGACGAAGTCCAAATCACTTGAAGGGCCTGGTCTACACTGTGGAATGAATGCAGTTTGATACCACATTAACTACCGTGGCTCAATGCTATGAAACACTGGGGTTTCTAATTTGGCCAGACACCAAACTTCTTTGGCGGAGGAGGCTAAACACCTTGTCAAAGGAGAACTCCCACAACTCCTTGAGCAGCAGCAATTACAGTGGTGTCAAGCTACACCCTCAAATCGCTTAGGATCATAAAAATTAGAAGGGACACCAGTTGTTGGTCATCCTGAGGAACCATAGAATGATAGAATCCTAGAGTTGGAAGAGACCTCATGGGCCATCCAGTCCAACCCCATTCTGCCAAGAAGCAGGAAAATTGCATTCAAAGCACCCCTGACAGATGGCCATCCAGCCTCTGTTTAAAAGCTTCCAAAGAAGGAGGCTCCACCACACTCCGGGGCAGAGAGTTCCACTGCTGAACGGCTCTCACAGTCAGGAAGTTCTTCCTCATGTTCAGATGGAATCTCCTTCCTTGTAGTTTGAAGCCATTGTTCCGTGTCCTAGTCCTCAGGACAGCAGAAAACAAGCTTGCTCCCTCCTCCCTGTGGCTTCCCCTCACGTATTTATACATGGTCTTCATCATGTTTCTTCTCATCCTTCTCTTCTCCAGGCTAAACATGCCCAGCTCCTTAAGCCGCTCCTCATAGGGTTTGTTCTCCAGACCCTTGATCATTTTAGTCACCCTCCTCTGGACACATTCCAGCTTGTCAACATTTCCCTTTAATATCGGTGCCCAGAATTGGACACAGTATTCCAGGTGTGGTCTTTTTATTTATTATTATTGACAGTATTTATATACCGCTTTTCTCACCCTTAGGGGGACTCACCAAGGCAGAATAGAGAATGGGTAGTATGACTTCCCTGGATCTAGACACTAGAGTTTTTTTCATATTTAAATATTTTTGCTTTCAGTAATAAGCATAATGCATATAGCAAGTGTGATTGCTATGAACAGTATGGATTGCTGCTTCCTAATTGGGACCATTCTAGGGTAATGACCGAATAAATGGCTTGCGGATTACATTCTGTGTGCGATCCCAAGCGTTAAACAAGCTGCACCCAAATGCTTAGACCAAAATGCACTAATGGTAAGCATGTCACCAATGGAACATTATAGGCCAAAGTACATTTGCCACAGTTTCTAGAACTTGGCATGTCAGTCCAATCTACTTATAAGCAGGAATTCTAGATTCCTCCCTTCTCATTGTTTTTTTTTTCCAAAATGATTTTTATTGGTGATTTCACAAGAAAACATAAAATAACATAGCAATGTTTTTTAAAAAAGAAAAGAAACCATCATTCATCATTTATCTACTCTCTATCACACATAAGGCTATCAATCTGTCTCCATATACAAAAGAAAAAAGAGAGGAGAAAAAAGAGAGAAAAGAAAGGAAACGATAGTAAATTAAACTTTGCGACTTCCGTTCTTCTTCCATTACCTTTTCTCTACTTCGATTCTAGTTCTCTATTTCCTCTCTCTACAGGAACAGCATCAAATAGAGATAGGGATAGAGATTTTTTTTTAACATCCATTTTTCCCTCCAATCTTCTAGTTTCCCTATTGATCTCATATTTATTCAATATTCCTTTTTCCAATAGTCCTCTAAAACTTTCCAGTCTGTTCTTTTCATTCCTTTCCTATTGCTATATCTAAGTCAAAATGTCAATTCGTCCATATGCTTAATTTCCATTATCTTATCCAGCCATTGCATCTTCGTAGGAGTTTGTTCTTGTTTCCATGCCTTAGCAAATGCAATTCTGGCCGTTGTTGCAAAGAAAATAAACAATTTTTCTGTGTTAATAACTTTAAATGTCTCTGATTCAAACATACCCAATAAGTAACATTCTGGATTCATAGGGAAGTCAATCTTTAGCAGTGTTTCCTCAACCTGGGGGTCGGGACTGCTGGGGGGGTCGTGAGAGGGTGTCAGAGGGGTCGTCAAAGACCATCAGAAAACAAAGTATTTTCTGTTGGTTATGGGGGTTCTATGTGGGAAGTTTGGCCCAATTTGGTCATTGGTGGGGTTCAGGATTTTCTTTGATTGTAGGTGTACTATAAATCCCAGCCACTACAACTCCAAAATGCCAAGGTCTATTTTTCCCAAACTCCACCAGTGTTCACATTTGGGCATATTGAGTATTTGAGTGTAGAGTTTGGTCCAGATCCATCATTATTTGAGTACACAGTGCTCTCTGGATGTAGGTGAACTACAACTCCAAAATTCAAGGTCAATGCCCACCCACCAAATCCTTCCAGTATTCCTGTTGGTCATAGGAGCCCCCAGTGGCGCAGTGGGTTAAACCCCTGTGCCGGAAGGACTGAAGACTGATAGGTCGCAGGTTCGAATCCAGGGAGAGCGCGGATGAGCTCCCTCTATCAGCTCCAGCTCCTCATGCGGGGACACGAGAGAAGCCTCCCACAAGGATGATAAAAACATCAAATCATCCGGGCGTCCCCTGGGCAACGTCCTTGCAGATGGCCAATTCTCTCACACCAGAAGCAACTTGCAGTTTCTCAAGTCGCTCCTGACTCGACGAAAAAAAAAAAAGGGTGTTCTGTACGCCAAGTTCGGTTCAACTCCATCCTTGGTGGAGTTCAGAATCCTCTTTGCTTGTAGGTGAACTTTAAATCCCAGGAATCACAACTCCCAAATGACAAAATGGACAAAATGCACACACACACCCGAACCCAGCAGTGTTCAAATTTGGATGTAGTGGGTATTTGTGTCAAATTTGGTCCAGTGAATGAAAATACACCCAGCATACCAGATATTTACATGACAATTCATAACAGTAGCAAAATTACAGTTAGGAAGTAGCAACGAATGTTATGGTTGGGGGTCACCACCACATGAGGAAACTGTATTAAGGGGTTGAGAAACACTGCTCTAGACTCCTATTGATGCAGGCCAGGAATGACCAGCCACTGCCAGAAGGGACAGAGAGTTTCATCTATGCTGATGATTGTGCCATTACTGCTCAAGCAGGGAGCTTTGAGATGGTTGAACAGAAGCTCTCCGTAGCTCTAGGTGCTCTTCCTGCCTATTACAGGGAAAACCAACTGATCCCTAATCCATCTAAAACACAGACATACGCCTTTCACCTCAAGAACAGACAAGCATCCCGAGCTCTGAGGATTACCTGGGAAGGAATCCCACTGGAGCATTGCAGCACACCCAAATACCTGGGAGTCACTTTGGACCGTTCTCTGACCTACAAGAAGCACTGCCTGAACATCAAACAAAAAGTGGGCGCTAGAAACAACATCATACGAAAGCTGACTGGCACAACCTGGGGATCACAACCAGACACAGTGAAGACATCTGCCCTTGCGCTATGCTACTCTGCTGCTGAGTATGTATGCCCAGTGTGGAACACATCTCACCACACTAAAACAGTGGATGTGGCTCTTAATGAGACATGCCGCATTATCACAGGGTGTCTGCGCCCCACACCACTGGAGAAATTACACTGCTTAGTCGGTATTGCACCACCTGACATCCGCCGGGAAGTGAAAGGACCAAGGCAGAGACATCTCCAGCTCATCCCCTGTTTGGGTATCAGCCAGCATGTCAACGACTTAAATCAAGACATAGTTTTCTTAGATCTACAGAGACACTCGCTGGAACACCCCAGCAAGCGAGAGTCCAAAAGTGGCAGGCCCAAACCCAGCACCTCAATTCATGGGTGATACCAGATGAGAGACTCCCCCCTGGGCACTCAGAAGACTGGGCGACTTGGAAGGCGCTGAACAGACTGCGCTCTGGCACCACAAGATGCAGAGCCAATCTTAAGAAATGGGGCTACAGGGTGGAATCCTCGGCATGCGAGTGCAGAGAAGAACAAACCACAGACCACCTGCTGCAATGCACCCTGAGCCCTGCCACATGCACAATGGAGGACCTTCTTGCGGCAACACCAGAGGCACTCCAAGTGGCCAGATACTGGTCAAAGGACATTTAACCAAATACCAAATTTGCAAAATCTGTGGGTTTTTTTCCTTTTTCTTTTTAATCTGTGTGTTTGTTTTGCTCTGTTAGAATTGTAATACAATGGTTGCTGATGACACGATAAATAAAATAAGGCCAGGAAGGATGGCTCTCTGCACATTCTCAGGAACACTTGGGATGAATTTTGCATTCAAATCTGACCAAGACAAAGCTGAGGTGGACGTGTGCGTGCGTGCAAGGGATGAATCTGGCCAAACCGGAGGCAGGCGTCACCCACGGCGCTTGGGATGAATTCTGCACATGCTCAGGAACTAAGTAATTAAAAAAAACCGGGCTAAACCTGAGTAAAGTGGGTCTGGGTGTGTGTGCGCGCGAGAGGGGCTGGTGAATGGCGCGCGATGCGAGCCCTCCTCTGTCAGGCGGACTGACTCACCGACGGCGCGGATGAGGAAGCCTTCTGGCGGGCGCAGCGCCCTCCGGAGCCAGGCCTGGCGCAGCCTGTGGAGGGGCCCCGCGGGGCCCTGGAGGAGCAGCACGCCTCCCCGCAGCCAGCCCTGCAGCCGCACTCGCCCCACCGCCCGCGACACAGCCGCGTCCCAGTAGCAGGCGCCGTTGGCCCGCACGAACGCCGCGAACACGGCCGCGCCCGCCTCATCCTCGCCGTCCTCGCGGTCTCCTCCGTGGGGCCTCTGCTTGAGGCGGCGCAGCACGAGCGCCAGGGAGCGCGGTGCCAGCTGCACCAAGGAGCCCGGCGCCATCCTCCTCTTCCCGCCCAGCGCCTCAGAGCTGCTGCGCCTGCTGCTCCTGTGCGGCTGCCAAGGGAACCAAAGGGAGGGGCCAAATGGAAAAAGGGGAGGGGCTATATTCTCCTGCCGCTGTTGTGCGGCTGCCGAGGACCCGAGGGGGCGTGGACAAGGGAAAAGAGGCGGGCAAAGGGGAGGAACCACCTGCTGCTGCTGTGTGGCTGCCAAGGGAACCAAAGGGAGGGGCCAAATGAAGAAAGGGGAGGAGCCATTTGCTCCTGCCGCTGTTGTGTGGCTGCCGAGGACCCCCGAGGGGGCGTGGACAAGGGAAAGGGGGCGGGCAAAGGGGAGGAACCACCCACCTGCTGCTGCTGCTGTGTGGCTGCCAAGGGAACTAAGGGAGGCGTGGCCAAGAGAAGAGCCAGTTTTCGCTGCTGCAGCTGCTGTGTGTGCCAAGGGAACCAAGGAGGCGGGGCCAAGGAAGGGGGCGAGGCCAAGGGTGGAGCCATCTCCTGCTGGCTATTTATTTGTCGTGTCAGAGCAACCAGTCAATTATATTACATTTCTAACAGAACAAAGCAAACAAACAGACAAAATACAAAATTTGTGAGTTTGGTAGTTGATTAAATGTCCTTTGACCACATGCACAATGGAGGACCTTCTTGCAGCAACACCAGAAGCACTCCAAGTGGCCAGATACTGGTCAAAGGACATTTAATCAACTACCAAACTCACACATTTTGTATTTTCTCTGTTTGTTTGCTTTGTTCTGTTAGAAATGTAATATAATTGACTGGCTACCCTGACACGAGAAATAAATAGATGTCCTTGACCAGTATCTGGCCACTTGGAGTGCCTCTGGTGTTGCTGCAAGAAGGTCCTCTATGGTGCATGTGGCTGGGCTCAGGTTGCATTGCAGCAGGTGGTCAGTGGTTTGCTCTTCTCCACACTCACATGTCGTGGATTCCACTTTGTAGCCCCATTTCTTAAGGTTGGCTCTGCATCTCGTGGTGCCAGAGCGCAGTCTGTTCAGTGCCTTCCAAGTCGCCCAGTCTTCTGTGTGCCCAGGGGGGAGTCTCTCATTTGGTATCAGCCATTGGTTGAGGTTCTGGGTTTGAGCCTGTCACTTTTGGACTCTCGCTTGCTGAGGTGTTCCAGTGAGTGTCTCTGTAGATCTTAGAAAACTATTTCTTGATTTAAGTCGACGTGCTGGCTGATACCCAAACAGGGGATGAGTTGGAGATGTCACTGCCTTGGTCCTTTCACTATTGGCTGCTACTTCCCGGCAGGTGGCAGGGGGGGTTGAGGGGCTTCAGCCCCCCCCCCCGAAATTCTCATGGTGGTTCACGAAAAGGCCTTACTGGTGCATTATTTAAACTGTTATGTTTATTCATATCATGATCTGATCACCATACTCAATATATTCCATATGCATAGGGGTATTGGGGTAATGATACAAAAGGTTTGCTAGGGTAGACCCTCTTTCACTCAGACTCACCCCCCCTGAAAATGAAAAAATCACCCCCCCCCCCCCCCCCCCCGAAACGAAATCCTGGCTACGGGCCTGCCTTGGTCCTTTCACTATTGGCTGCTACTTCCCGGCAGATGTCAGGTGGCACGATACCTTGCCATATTTGGTTCAATTCCATCATTGGTAGAGTTCAGAATGCTCTTTGATTTTAGGTGAACTATACATCCCAGTAACTACAACTCGCATATGTCAGGGTCTATTTTTCCTCAAGAGTGCCTCAAGAGCGCCCCTGGGCAAAATCTATACTGCAAATGCTTACTTTGCGTAATGAGTTGAGCCGCCCCTGTCTATGCTGATGATCGTGCCATTACTGCTCAAGCAGGGAGCTTTGAGATGGGAGAACAGAAGCTCTCCAAAGCTCTAGGTGCTCTTACTGCCTATTACAGGGAAAACCAGCTGATCTCCAACCCATCCAAAACACAGACATGTGCCTTTTATCTCAAGAACAGAGAAGCATCCCGAGCTCTGAGGATTACCTGGGAAGGAATCCCAATGGAGCATTGCAGCACACCCAAATACCTGGGAGTCACTCTGGACCGTGCTCTGACCTACAAGAAGCACTGCCTGAACATCAAGCAAAAAGTGGGTGCTAGAAACAATATCATAAGCAAGCTGACTGGCACAACCTGGGGATCACAACCAGACACAGTGAAGACATCTGCCCTTGCGCTATGCTACTCTGCTGCTGAGTATGTATGCCCAGTGTGGAACACATCTCACCACACTAAAACAGTGGATGTGGCTCTTAATGAGACATGCCGCATTATCACGGGGTGTCTGCGCCCTACACCACTGGAGAAATTACACTGTTTAGCCGGTATTGCACCACCTGACATCCGCTGGGAAGTAGCAGCCAATAGTGAAAGGACCAAGGCAGTGACATCTCCAGCTCATCCCTTGTTTGGGTATCAGCCAGCACGTCAACGACTTAAATCAAGAAATAGTTTTCTAAGATCTACAGAGACACTCGCTGGAACACCCAGCAAGCGAGAGTCCAAAAGTGGCAGGCTCAAACCCAGAACCTCAATCAATGGCTGATACCAAATGAGAGACTCCCCCCTGGGCACACAGAGGACTGGCGACTTGGAAGGCGCTGAACAGACTGCGCTCTGGCACCACGAGATGCAGAGCCAACCTTCAGAAATGGGGCCACAAAGTGGAATCCACGACATGCAAGTGTGGAGAAGAGCAAACTACAGATCACCTGCTGCAATGCAACCTGAGCCCTGCCACATGCACAATGGAGGACCTACTTGCGGCAACACCAGAAGCACTCCAAGTGGCCAGATACTGGTCAAAGGACATTTAATCAACTACCAAGCTTGCAAACTCTGTGTCTTTTGTATGTTTGTTTGTTTGTTCTGTCAAAAATGTAATACAACTGTTCGGTTGCCTGAATAGAGAGTTGGAAAACCAAGGGCAAGATGGATGGATGATATCCTTGAAGTGACTGGATTGGCTCTGAAGGAGTTGGGGGTGGTGACGGCCAACAGGGAGCTCTGGCGTGGGCTGGTCCATGAGGTCACAAAGAGTCGAAAACGACTGAACGAATGAACAACAAAACATGCTTGCTGATAGGATAATAGGCGTATTACATGGGCAGTTCAAAAAAAGAGTGGCTATCCTCATCATTTGTTATGACGCAATTATTATAACACGCATGCGTCCATATTTAATATTCCATTCTTCCTTGCTTTTAGTCCTTTCATAACTTAATCACTTCAAATTGGCACCCAGATTTCACTGCTTTACAGAACACTTAACCGAATTTAACCTGAACATCATCTTCTGAAGATGACAGGCTTTTTAAAAGCACATTTTACTTACTATAGGCATACATAAATGCTATTTTTACAGTGATGGCTATGTAAAACGTAGCTGCGGCTTATTTCTACCCAACTAAAGATTATGGACTTGCAATGTACATTATTGCATTGTAGCTTCCATTAAACTAATCTTCTTTTAGAAATCTATTGACGTAATATATAGGATCTGAAATCTGTTTTAGATAGATTTACGTTCTTGTGGAATAAGAATGTTGAGCCTTTACTTAAACAATAAATTTAGTGCACTAAATTGTGGCACAAAGTTGTGTTTATTTTGAAATTATGTATGCAAATAACAGTTTCCAAGGACAAAGTGTTTTGTGCAAAGAGTGTAGTTTTTCTTCAGAAAAGACAATTTTTGTACAAAATATATGTTTCTGAAATCAGTGCAGGAAAGCCTTGCATGTAAAATATTTTCACCAATAATAATAATAATAATAATAATAATAATAATAATAATAATAATAGAAATTGAATTGAAAAGTCAACAACAGATCCCTAATGTAGACTCTGCAAGGAAGCAGATGAAACAATAGATCACATCCTCTGCTGCAAGAAGATCGTACAGACAGACTACAAGCAGAGGCATAACACCGTTGCTCAGATGATTCATTGGAACTTGTGCCACAAATACCATCTGCCTGCAACAAAGAACTGGTGGGATCACAAGCCTGAAAAAGTTACAGAGAACGAACACACCAAACTCCTCTGGGACTTCCGGATTCAGACAGACAGAGTTTTGGAGCACAATACTCCTGACCTCACAATCGTGTTAAAAAACAAAGTATGGATCATCGATGTTGCAATCCCAGGTGACAGCAGGATTGCAGAGAAACAACTGGAAAAGCTGACACGATATGAGGATTTAAAAATTGAACTGCAAAGACTCTGGCACAAACCAGTAAAGGTGGTCCCAGTGGTGATTGGCACACTGGGTGCAGTGCCTAAAGACTTGGCCTGCACTTAAACACAATCGGCGCTGCCAGCTGCAGAAAGCCACCTTACTGGGATCTGCACGCATTATTCACCGATACATCACACAGTCCTAGACACTTTGGAAGTGTCCGACGTGTGATCCAATTCAACAGCCAGCGGAATGTCTGCTGTGGACTCATCTTGCTGTGTTTCAAATAATAATAATAATAATAATAATAATAATAACAATACACTTTATTTGTATCCTGTCCCATCTCCTCAATGGGGACTCAGGGTGGTTAAGAACATACATACTTAACTGTGGTCCAAGCTCTTGTTACGTCCCGAATAGATTACTGCAATGCACTCTACGTGGGGCTGCCTTTGAAGACTGTTCAGAAACTTCAATTAGTTCAACAGGCTGCAGCCAGATTACTAACTGGAGTAACATACAGGGAACATACCACCCCCTTGTTGTGTCAGCTCCACTGGCTGCCGGTCCACTTCTGAACCCAATTCAAAGTGCTGGTTTTGACCTATAAAGCCCTATATAGTTCTGGCCCAGCTTACTTGTCCGAACGCATCTCCCTCTATGTCCTGCCTCGCAGTTTAAGATCATCCGGGGAGGTCCTGCTCTCACTCCCGCCAGCATAGCAAATAATAACATCCCACACCACCCTAAATTTATATCCTAATACCACGAGTTGTGTGAATGACAAGCAAAAACAAGTATTTTCCCCAGATTGGGAGAAAATTACATACATTATTTGTCCTTGCATGGGAGTGTGAAGTAACTGAAGATGTACATTCCTTGAAGGAGCAA